TTGCGCTGGTTTTTTCCCATCTTTGTGGATTTACCTGGCTGTGTTGTTAGGGAGCTGCTTGATGAGTTCGCTTGTCTGCCTGCAGAGGTGCTACTGGGTTTCTAGGGACTCCTTCAGGTTACTAGGGAAGCTTCCTGTGTCTTTTTTATTTATACTGGGAGATTAGGCCCGTCCCTTCCGCTGACCTCCAGGGGCTGCTGGGTTGTCAAGAATGCCATCTCATTGCTGCGTAGGCTTCCTGTGTTTTTTGTTAAAACATGTAGCCCAGTCCCACCCATCTAGTGGTGGGTTGTGCCCTTCCTCCACTGGGCTGGATCATTCAAGGTTCATCTCAGACTGTGGAACTGGCTGCGCAACCCACTAGAGTCAGAGCTTCAGCCCTCCAGGGTTTGTGGGAGAGGATAGGGACCCACCCAGCCACACCCAGCTGTCTCCCCCTTTCAGCTTCCTCTATCTCCAGTCATGGGGTAGGGGCCTGCCCAGCTGCTCCCACTTACAGCAACCTCTCTCTCTGGGTGGAGGGAGGGGGCAATAGCTCAGTCCACAGGCTCTTATTCAACTCCACACTTGTAATTCCCGGTGCTTGACTGACAAAGATCCCCTGTTCTATGTATTGCTGAGGCTTTGGGGGAAGCGCTGTATCTGGACCGGAGTACCAGAGGGGGAGCCTCTGACTCCCAGTACCCCTTCCCACCTCGGTCTGCCCTAAGTGGGCTTTACTCGACATTGGACCAGACCCATTGAAATGCACCTGGTACCCCGGTTAGAGCTAGGAGATCTCTGGATTTCTGCGTCTCTCTCACTAGGTGTTATGCACTGGAGTTATGTCTAATCGGCCATCTTGGATCCTCTCCATTTTAAACTTTTAAATAATTTTATCAGAATAATGCATTTTTATCAAATGCATACATAAAGTATCAAATATAGTAGAAGTTATTTTTACTGGCCTCCTATGTGATTTGCCTGATTGAGCAGCTCTCTCCCTTCCTTTAGTATATCCTACTGTCTGATGCTCACAGCCAGTTCAGGACTGCATGCTCTCTAGCCCACCTGCAAACTTCTGATCCCTCTTGTGAAGATATATGTGGACCAAGAGTCAGTGGTGTTTGTCCCCAGATCTGCTGTGCCAGTTTCGCTTATTCATGTAATTATTCAATGAGTATTGTGTAAATCAATGACATATGGATGTGTAAAAAAGAATTGCTGTTTCTATTAAAATGTTTTTTAAAGACTCAAAGTTGAGTTACTAAAAATAAAAGGCTATAGAATTATATATGAGCAAGATAGTGGTAAAATATTGGGGAAAACTTAAATCTAAAAGGATTCTGCTTTGTGCCTTTAAGTTTTCAATCTACTTTAATGAAACAGAAGCTGAGAAATATAGATGATGATTATGGGTGTAGTTTATGTAAAAAAATGAAGAACTGAAAACATTTGGCTATATTCTATATGCAGAAATCCTGGTAGTATTCCCATGGGATTCTTATGATATTAAATTTGGTAAGGTTCACATAGTGTACTCAGCAGCATGTCTGATATTTAATAAGCATTCAATCCATGTTAGCTGTTATTGTGGTTATTATTGATTTAATAATTTTGGATCCAGGCAATTTTGAAAGAAAAGCAAAAAAAAAAATGCAAGGTGAGACCAAATCAATATTTCAAAAGAAAATATTGGGAATAAACTTTTAAATGCAGCAACCCAAGGGCCTAAACTTCACTGTGATGATTTTTTTATTTGCATCCAAATATCTGTGTATAAAATTAAGAGTATATTGATAATCAGATATCTACAAGGTTAGCTGGAAACACAGATCCTGATTCATTATTGAAAATAAGACCTTGGCATTCCAAATGTAACCCTATTTCAATTTTAACAGCAAACTGCCACATAGCCTTAGGAAGCTGTCTAACCTTTTCCTATCCTTGTATTCTCAGTTAGATAAGGATGATAACAAACAACTAAATTAATTTATCACGTGGCCAGAAGAATGATTTTGAATTCTTTGAGAAAAGTACACTATGGTTGTGTTTGCATTCTCTCACTTGAGTGTGAGCTCTACCTGGCTCAGTGCTGTTGTGAAGCTCTCCAACCCTCAGGATGAGGATCAGTGAAATGCTAATTTTTAAAAAAATTAAATTTTCATCAAAGCTCTAGACCTATTCACTTATTATGATGTTTACGCCAAGTTTCAACAGGTAAAACATGCTTCACCACAAAAAAACAATGAAGCTCAGAATAAGTTATAGGGTGAAAGAGAAAGATTCTATTTTATTTGATTATGCTACTAAATTAAGTCTTAATTCTTTTTCAATCTTGGAAACACAATATAAGAACAGATATACTGGATACGAGGTTTAAACTCATTAATTTTAGTGGGTCTGCCCAAACCCAATTAATTTCAGTTTGTGAAGCAATCCCCATTGTTGGGGTTTCAAATTATTTTCATAGTTGACCATGGAAGAAGATGCATAGCTATTTAATACATGATCTTGTAGCTAGTCAGTCAGTCTGTATTGATTGTATGGACTGAGCCCAACATCCTACATATTTATTATGTACAAATACAGAGAGAAATCACAATAATTTAGAAGATATAGTTAAAACCTTTAAAGAGCTATATACTCTATTACTATTATTGGAAGGTAGAAGAGGACACTTTTCTTTAGGAGACAATTCAAAAGATCAAAATAAATTGTATTTATTTCCCTATCATTTAACCTATCCTTAAAGAAATATGTCTTTCAAAAATTTAAGTTAATTCAATATATATTTATGCATAAGACTAAAGTAGATTCAGAGAAGTAAAAAGAGGAACTAGACTGGATCATCCCAGTGTTCAATAAGCTTACTATAGTGGGGGAGACAGGCATTTGTCTAACTAGTATACTTTCATCCGCGATGTGTGGAGAGACAAACTAGACCAGGGTAGAATTACCAATACCTGAGTGTACTCTCATTGTAATGTCTTAATATTAGGTTTCCAGACACCCTTAAGAAATTGCTAGATTTGTACAACCTTCATATTTGAGCCATCATGGAAATGGAGAAAGAGCCTTTTATATCCACATTGTTTAAGGAAATGACTTGATCATTAAAAGCCAGATAGCTTAAAAGCAATGCCTGATGAGAACAATCTCTCATACAATCAGTAAGCAACTTACCAGAATAGCATAAGGTATAAAAAAGCACATGCATTTGACTTTTTGAATAACCAGCTTTTCCACACTTATTTAATTTCCTTCCTTGATTCACAGACAGCCTACATAAATAATGATGATAAGCCAGATAAAATCAATTTTGTATGGAGGAAGATTTTGAGTTCTAGTCTAAACAATGTTCTTATCACTAAGCCATGACAGTGTGACCTTAATCACACTACCATTACCTGGGTGAACAGGTAAATATAGAGTTGCTATTACAGAAAAGTGTGTTAGATCAATGCATTACACATCCAGGTCCAGCCCCAGGGGATCAGCTGTACTGAAGGACCTGTAACTTACTGATGAGCTATATAAATGACTCATAAATACCTGCATCCAAAATACAGATATTACTAAATCAAGTAGAATGACCAATACCTTATACCAAGAAGTTCATAACAATAAAATTCAAAATGCCCTTGGATATATGTTTTAAATCATTCTAAAAATAGAATAGCATATCATTAATGCAAATATAAACTGGTATTTTTTGGCACACATGAAATTTGCTAAAAAATAATTTAAAAGACAAGTGCCAGCAAGATTTTTATCTCAATCAAGATTAACAAAGCTATACTGTAAATGAGTCACACTAAGTAATTTAAATGGGGCAGGATAGCAAGACAGACAATTAATCCTACCATTGCTTAAGCCACACCATCCTTGAGTATTCATTCAAGTTTTAGTCAACATATTTTGAAAGATTTTTTTTAAAAGGTGTGCAGAGAGCAAAGCATTACCTATATATTTATAAAATATAGAATAGAATATGTTAATATATGTAAATATATTATATACTATATATTTCATTATAGTTATATAAAATATATGGTATGCCATACATTATATATGTTACAATATGTTGTATTATATATAATATATATTTTATATATATATATAATGTCATTTAAGGAAAGCAGTGGAACCATGTAATCCAAAAAAGCCAAAAACTAAGTAGTCATATTACTGCTTTCTTATGGCTCTGTAAAATTGTTCTCAGAATGAGCTGAGGCTCTCCTTTCCCTATAGGTGACTGAGTGAGAAGAAATATACTGTGTTACAATAGGCTGACTTCATCTGGCAGAAAGAGGCCCTTGATAATCACCATGAAACTCATTGGTTCAAGGAAAACCTCAAGATTTCTTTCTTACAGCTGTTTACTACAGAATAAACTATCATTAGTTCTGGATAACTTAAATATCTATGGAGTTGCTTCCCTCAGAGCCCTGTTCTTTTATCCAAGCTTCCTTTTCATCTACTCTTGCAAGCTTCCCAAACTAAGGCATCCAACAGTAGGCCGCTAATAATCAATGCCAGGAGCTGCACATGGCATCTCCATCTCAATTTCACCCAAAGACATTGAGCCCAAGTACTCAGTTTACACAAAGATTTTATTAATAAGTGAAAACACCATTGTACATTAGCACATTGATGCATTATGGGGTAGAATGCTGAGAATCAAAGGAAATCATCTTCCTTGTGATGCTCATTTTCCAATTCTACCCACCCCTGAGTCCCCAGCTCCATCTCCCTCCCACAAAGAGTACAGGCTCAAAGCCCAGGCTTTTCTATAGCAAATTTTGATGGTAATGCCAGATTTCCTAATAAGTGACACTAAGCTTAATCAGGCCAGAAACACAAAAGATGATACATTTATTTCATGACCCTCTCCCTTCCCATAACTTTCCTTGTTACAGATAAAATATTAGAAACTTTGAGGCATCTCTGTGTAGAATTTTTGTAAATGTCTCTGAATGTGATAGTAATATATGAATTTCTCTCCTCTTCTTTTTCAGGATGGGGACCAGTGAAGTACTTGCAGCCTGTACCCCGAATCAGTGAGTAACTTCCTCATAATGTTTGAGTCTTGGGTAGTTATAGATAAGCAGAGCAACGAGTAGAAAATCTGAAAACCTCATTGTGTTGCTTTTAAGCACCTGTTCTGGTGATGATAACCATCCCTAGAAGGAACAGTCCAGGTGGCATTGTTGGAGTGCATAAAGTCTTGAAGGTGGGAGAAAAACAAGCAAACTACCATCCTTGTCTTCAAGGAATTTACAAAGGAAACTAAAGACTCTGAAGATTGATTTCAGTTATATATAGGTTGTTGTTTACTTTATTTGAAAAACTTTACATATTTTTCTATTTTTATTTTTAAAGTAACACTTTCCTGGCACATTGCACAATAGTCTATTTTTTTAAATGTCTTCCTCTATGAATAGAGTAAAACCTCATTAATTCAGATACTGTTAATACACCATTGACAATTTGATCTAGACTAAACTGAAATTTAGCTTTGAATTGTCTGCAAGGAATGGATTTGCTAAGTGAAATGAAATATTTGTAACCAATGTACAAAGAATACATTGTTTTTGTAGTTTAGCACAGCAGTGGTCTTTAGGCAAAAAGATTCAGCTGTAAAATAAGGATTATTAAGGTCACTAAGTAGATGTCTGCTTAGACAGACATTATTGGCAGATAGTAGTATTGAAAGTGATGAAACAATGTTGCTTTCAACAAATTCTGACTTCTCTAATTCAGGCTAGATCTTCCTCTCCTCTTTTCCAAACTAATTATTCTAATCAAATGAAGTTTACTATTGTGTAATATGTGGATGAAGTATTTAGTAATAGAAGAAGATCAATTCTTATTATCTTAAAAATCTATAAATATAAATTTTAATTTTCAGGTGCTTATCTGTAATGTTGATCACCTAGATGACAGAAGGGTATTTACAAGAAAAATGATGTATTATTTCATTTTCTTTTTCATGGTCTCATATGGAAATTTTTTTCTCATTTAAAACTTAACATTTTTGCAAAGAAAGCAAGTCAGATTCCCAGAGTGATAGCAAAGATTTGAGGTGAGGGAAAAAAACAAAATCAGATCGTGCCCTCCTTGCAGTATGTTGACAAATTGAAGTAGAAACTGAGTCACCATGCATTTATATATTCCTTTATTCATTCAACAAACACTTAGCCAAGAGCCATGCTTCTTGCATCAAAGGATGTAGAGATAAATAAAATTCTCTTCTTGTCTTTGTTGTGCTGGTTCCCCATAAGTTGAGACAGAAATGGAGACAAATGGCTTTCATGTGATAAGCAATGTGTTACCCCAATAAACAGAGTGCTTCAGAAATGCACAGAATACACCATGAACTTGAACAGGAAGAGTTGGGAAAATATTAGGTAATAGTTATCACACTTGAACTGATTCTTAAAGAATGAATAGAATTTCTACAAGTAGAGAAAAGGAAGGACAGCCTTTCAAGCAGTACAAGCAAAAGCATGGAGACATCAAAGCACATGTATTGCTCAAGTAAAACAATGTAGACTTAGAGTTAGTTGTATAGAGCTGAGGGAATGTGGGAGTAGCATATGGTCTATACATAAAGGTATATTGCCAGGAAAAGATGCCCTTTAAGTGGTCAAAGACAACAATTGGAGTTCAGAGAGGGAAAGATTTGAGAGTCATTTGCATAGAGAGTTGAAATGTGAAGAGATGGAAATAAGATCACTCAAGGGCACAGGAGAGAACTTTTAGGAATACAGAATCAGCTTCTTCCTGAGACAGGAGAAAATGATAAGTGGGGAAAAACTGAGATCAGTTTAAAGATGGGCATAAAGAAATTTGAGGGACTTTATGTCTGAAAGCTTCCATTTTCTTGCCACCATACTGTGAGTAAGCATGGGATGTAGAATAGGAGGACACAAGTTCGAAACCTAATTCAGCCACCCATGAACAATGCAACATGGGAGGTCATATAACCCCTGTAAACTTCCATTTTTCCATCTGTGAAATGGAGGAAATAGTAACATGCAGTTCATAGGTCAGAGAACTTTATAACACATGTGGAAGCACTTTATAAACTACAGTACACTTGGCCAAAACACATGCTGGATGAGTCACTGAGCTCTTGTTTATTAAACAGGGATAAACTGGGCATGGGGGCATGTGCCTGTTATCCTAGCCACTCAGGAGGCTGAAGTGAGAGGGAATGCTTGAGACCAAGAGTTCAAGATTGTAGTGTGTGATGATTATTGTACCTGTAAACAGCCATGCAGTCCACTCTGGGCAACACAGTGAGATCCTATCTCTAAAAAAATCAAATAAAATAAGGATAACAGCACATAGCTTATATGAGTTACTGAATACATTAAAGATAAGATATGCACCATGTGTGCTCTTCTGTGAATAAGAGCTTGTCTCTTGGGAAAGAAAAAAAAAACTACAATGGGTAAACAAGACAAGAAAGAGACATGGAAAAATGTTTTTGAGCAGAATTAAAAGCCCATCCTGAAAACAAGGGTTTGCAGGTACAGCCACACCTATGTACTCAAGCAGCTGAAGTGAATGAGTTGATGGTCTGGGGCTGAGGTAGATCAAAGCAGGTATACTAGCGGCTGAGAGCAAGTGCCATTGAGGAGACAATTGGAAAGGTTGGCCAATGCAGATCCCAGAATTTTAGAGGCCCCGTTCTCTGGCCTCAGCCCTGGTTTGGCAGAATGATGCCCTTTCTATTCAGAGTCCGCAGCCTGTGGTCCTATGACTTGTTGTCAATAAAGTGAGTGGCTTACGTGAAAGATTGAGCATCCAGATGTCTCCAAGGTTATACGCTCTCACCATCAGCTAAGCTCCAGCCCTGACACTACTGCTCAGAGTAGGACAGTGGCCAACCAGACCCCTGCCTGACCCTCCTACTCTCTCACCTCCCACCCTTGGCTCATATCCCAACTACAGCCTATTCCCAGCCTCCTCTTCCATTTGAACTTTCATTCTTCCCTAGCACATAAGGCAGTAAAAAAGCTGTCCACCTCCTCTGGAATGGAAAAGTAAAGTTTGGCCAACTATTAGTAAAAAGGAGCCAGACTGCATGCTACCTACCCCTCATACCTTTAACACCAAGTTTCAACCTCATTCCAGAATTTGCTGGTTGCAACAGGCAAGACTACACTTCCTCCCACACGTGGAAGTAAGTTATCTCACCATCCACTAGGAAAATGTTTGATGTCCTCTTAAAATGTTTAGTGAGTCTTGGGGACCCCAAGAGAGAGTTGCCAAGATCTATCTTGATAGTTACTAAACTTACCTCTGAGAGATTTGAACTGCTAGAGCTTTCATCCTCAATTTGCCAAATGGCAGTAATAAAGGAAATATAGGCTATCCTTGCACATTATTGACTTCCATTTTAATTAATGTAAGACACATTCCTCATTTGGGAACATGATTGATTCACTCAGTCAATGGTTATTCATTAAGGATATACCAAATGCAAGGTGCTAGCTCCTAGTCAAGATCTTTGGAGAAAATGAATATAAACAGCTCCCATGAATAATATTTGAAACATGAGGAAAAACCTATCCAATTAGACAAAATTCCAGGTTCCCATGAAAAGACAATTCCTAAGACTAATTAGGGATTGAGAAACCCAGAGCATTTTCTTCTCTCTTTTCAGCCTTGGCTCCCAAAGCCCACTCTTCTGTGACTACCAACATGAATTACATGAAATTCACCTCCAAGCATCTTGCTTCCTGTACATTTCTTTCAGTCCGCTGTGGTAACTTGCTAATGTGGAGATTGCCCCAGGACACCTTAACACCCCTAATTCCACAGGCGGGACTTCCCTACACAGCAAAAGCCACACTAAAGTACAACCCTGCCTTTCCCAGGGTATGAAGCACCAGATAATGTGTCTCCTAATACAATTTCAGACAGGATACTCTCTCCCATTCCACCAAAGCACATCAATCCTTTTTCCAAGGTACTTTAATCTAATGTCATGCCAACCAGCGCCCGCCCCCCTCCCCAGTGCCCTCTACAACTCCCATTTTATTTCTGCCTGGTGTGTATGCAGTCTTCATTCTAGATCTACTCAAGAAAGCAACTCACCTCTCATTAAAAACAAATGCAAAGACAAACATCTATTCATTTTATTTCTTTAACCCTAATTACACCCTCCTTCTGGTTCCTCCTGTAATCAACTTGTCTACCATTTCTGGTTTTTTTGTGTATGTTTCTTTACTCTTATTTCTATCCTTTACACATCTTACAGGTCTTAGTAACCCTTGGAATATGGCCTTTTCGTTTATTTCCCACTTAACACAGGACTCATCCATTCAGTGGCAAAGCCAACATTAGGGAAAGGTGAGCAGTGGCATGTCATTAACATGTTTTTCTCATTTTTTTGCCATGTAGCTAAACTGTGTTCGATTTCGACCCGTTCTGTGGGTCCTTGACAGCAAGAATACAGCCCAGACTAGCATTTCAGATTTGGAGATCTTGATAAAGTGTTCAAAGCAGAGTCTAAAACTTGACTCTTCTGATTCTGAGTCCTGTACATCCCTAGGCCTCCATTTACAGGGACTGAAAGAAAATACCTTTCCTCTATTTTGTAAGTGGAGAGTAATTCAAAATCATTTCTTAGGGTCATTGAACTGAGAAATGTTCCTTGGAATTTCATGAAGAAAATCTTGAAACAGGGTTTATGTACCAGCAAAAGGATACACATATTCAAGGGTAATACCTTTTTACGTATTGATAGCATACTCTCTCTCGGAGCAGAGGACTGCTGTTGTGCCAAGCTGCAGTGCCATGTGATTTTAAAGCTAGAATTGCTCCTCGAAGGCTACTGCAGTTCCACACACCAGCACTTGGTCCCCTAGAGCTTTGCATTTAGTAGGCACATTCTCCTGGACACAGTTCCTAAAAATGACTATTGTTTACCTGTACTCAGTGTCCTTGCACTCATTTGGCAAAGGAGGGAGGCGCATCATATTCACAGGCGCTGCCGACTGCAGAGAGACAGCTGCCATACATAAGTCAAGACTCCAGCTTTGCA